TTGACTGAGAATCTACTTTTGACTAACCATGAGTTAGAAACAGACAGAAGTGTCGTTTCAAGATTCCACATCATTCAAAAGACCACTAAGATATAAATTCCTTGTAACAAGCGGATGAAAACAGGGAAGAGTAATAGAAAGGAGTTTGTACATAATGCTCCTCAGGTAATCACATATATACTACATATACTGCACAAGATTTGAAGCCCAATATGAACCAATGCAGCACAACCACCATTACCTTGCACAACCTTGAACACACACTCAGACTGTAATGCACACCTCTGGGACTGCTGATACATTCAGAGTAGGAAATCAATGGAATAATATAGATAAAACTCAAGGAAAACCCAAGGAACTAAGACCTCAAGCACTCCTCACAGTTAAGTACTTTAGTAATTTAGGATACACTGTAGCTCCTTCCTGCCTACTCTCCTTGCATTCAGGGTAATATGTCCCTGCCTCTGTTTCAGGAGGAGAAATGGATCATCACACCCAGTTTCCCGTATATTTTAACATCTGGGACCCTGAGTGGGTTCAAACTTTGTCAAGATGGAGAAGAACTGAACTTCACATTTCTACTACTGGGACAAGTTGTCTGATGAAAGGGGAAAAAACATGTAACTTTAATGAATTCAAACGCAGTAGCACCTGACTTACTCTTCAGGATTTTTGGTGCTGGCACCTTACTCCCACTCATCTCATCAAAGTACAGTATTTGTAATCTTTTCAGTACTTAATCTGTTAAGCAATCTTTTATCTAGAGTTTTTTTTGTCCCTGGATCAAAGCATGATCAGATTTCCAGGGCCCTCAGAGGTTGCATTTAAAAGGAGATTGCTAGTATTACTCTGAAAAACACAACTAACTAGTTTGTAAATAGAGTGGCTATGACCTAGCAATTTAAGCTGACAAAAAGTTTGAACCAATAGTGCCGTAGATATTCAGCAAATATCTTGAATTTTTATGATCTCTGAAAAACATTACTACATACCTATTTCACTTTCAGAGGTTTCTTAGATTTTCGCCAATATTTTTCCCAATACCTCTTAAGGTCTCAGAGTAGATTGTGTAAGTTCCCAAATTAATGAATAAAGGAAGAACAATCAACACTCTATTCAAAGAAAAAGCTATACCTTGCTGCTAACAGCCCAATGTATCTGCTCATTCCTTCCACTCCTTTAGATAATGAGGAGACATAATTCTTTGGCTCTGAGGAGTTTCTTTCTTTCTACTTACTGACCTTGAGGCATCCATGGCAAAGCCATTAGCTGACTGGCCAACTATCAGCTTTGTAAGGCAGGAAGGTTAAGGCTAATTTAAGATACAAAGGTATGCTTGCCGTATACCTCAAATATTGAACACAAATTCTAGGAATGCATCAGGTTTTCAGATGTAAAAAACTGACTGACAACATATTTACTAAGTGATTACAACAGAAGAGTGCTGGAAAGTATCCACTTCCCAGCATGACTCACCATGTATCTGATTAACTTCCTTTCAACCTCTGGAATTTTATGAAGATGCTGTATTATAAATTTCTGAAAATTAAGAGTCTTTTTAAAGAAAAGCAAAACAAAAGAACATACAGCTGTGAAGAGGGCAGGACATCACTCAGTGCACCAATGCAATTATAGCATGTAGAGATATGCAGATATATATTGCTATTCCAACAATGGAAGAAATAAGAAATAACATAAATCACAAGCTCTATGTTTTACTTTAATACTTCCAAGTATAGAGGTTTATTATGCCGCAAAGCCACCAAAGTATCCATTTGCATGAGGCCAAGGTAATGGAGTTGTCCTAGTTACAGAGGCCAGGACCAGTTTATCGCTATGTGGGTATAACCAAAACTGTGTATTTTACACCCTCTGTGTAATTTCTGACAGACTGTTAATAAATGGATCATTTGCAGCAGCTGACCAGGGCACATGTGACACCTCAGGCTACAAGCTGAGTGTTAAAGAAACCCTGTGAGGCAGGGCAGTGTTCACACCAATGACTCAGCCCCCAGTCCGAGGGGGCATCTCTGCTAATGGGTCACAATGGACTGGCAAAATAGGCAGCTACAATGACCTAGACCACCAAAGATTCCAAAAATATCCCATGACTCACAAAGCCAAATCACCCGTTGTGAAACTCCCTGTCCTGTGGAGAGGTACTGGGCATTCCCACCTGAACCTAACCATATATAAACTTTGGATTTTGGGACATGTGGTACCACTCATAAGATCCAGAGGAGGACTGGAACTTCAACAGGACTGCAACTGCCACTCTTGACACGACTGTGATCATTACTTCGACAGAACTGAGACCATCATCCAGACCAACAGGTTTCCTTTCCTTTTACTTTGCACCCAGGGAGCCACATAGTGTTCAGCACTGGGGTTATTGAACACCATTCTGTTCTTGTCCCAGGCTACGGGGTTATACATTTGTCTTTTGGGGTTAAAACCAGGTTTCTTTCTGTATCACTGTATTTATTGTAATGCTTTTAGTAAACTGTAACTTGTAATTGTGACTTGTAATCTCTTGAGTTGGGTTCATTTCTCCCACCAGTTTACTTTTAAACCAGCACAGGAGTCTAACAGGAAATACAGAGAATACCTAGAAAACTCTTGTAGTATTTACTTATTAGGATTGCAGACATAACTAAGATATAAAGCATAAAGATAACTGACGTGTTTACAAAAGCCAACAAAGCACCACAGGTGAATAATCAAATGTTTCAGTGTATTTAAAAATGAGTAAGCTGTAGGGGAACACAAGAGGATCTCTTCCCAGTCTGTTAGGAAATACCATGAGATTATGTTGTTCATACAAGTTGCAAAATAAGAAAATGGACTCAGTGACACACTAAGCACTTGTGTCTTGTATTATATATATATGCACATACACAGAGCTTCAGATACAGTGTTCAAGAATAAAATGTAAACCTGAGATTTTGCTGATAAATCCTTGCAAAAATAACCCAGTTACATGAAGGAATCAATCTAAATTTATATTATTGATCAGATGTGTCTGTCTGGCTGTCAGTATCAACTGCAGAGAGCAGCCAAGAAATCTCAATCATATTTTTGACTTCTCTGGGAACTTGACAGCACTAAAAACCAGACTCTAAAAGACTTCCTAGAGTAACATACAGCTGTGTTGCACTTTGGATTCTTCAGCAATTGCTGCCACATCTGATGGTGATTCCTAATGCCAAGATATTGCTCTCAAATTCCCTGATGTGCACCAGTAGACTGTAACACAGTACACTGTAGGGCCACAGTGTTTGCATTATGCAACAGGACTAATGATTTAGAATCACTATTATGACTCATATGATTAATAACACATACATGCATTAACACAAAGATCAATACTGTAATGAACAACTTGGGCAACATGTTTAACCAGAGCTGCAGTATAAATAAGTCTGGAAGGGCCATGAACCACATTTGAAAAACCCATAAACACCTTCTGAATGCCCACAAGAGTAATTGTGTTTTACTGAATGAACGTTTGTTCTCGCATTACAACAGAGGTTAACGCAACAGGGAGCTCTCTTACAACAACCCGGAATTCTGAAACTACAGTATCAGACATACTTCTAGACAAGTTATCTCTGAGAGATACACCAGCCTTGTCTGTTATTTACACTGCCACTAAGCCGCAGAAAATGAAACAAGGACAGAAGATGACAGTCATAGTGCTTTAAGCATATCTGTCTTTAACAATAATAGGGTACAGAATTAGATTGCTGATACTTCAATTGCATCTCAAACCATGACTTGCTGACACGTCCCTTGGTCCTGAAGAAAGCACAGACAGGTTTGAGAGAGGAACTGCCAGATAATTCTGAAATCATGAAGCATGTGTAGAAGCCCCTGATAAGCACCAAGACAAGTCATAGGTGTGTGGATAAACTAAGAAGTGAGAAACAGCAAAAGGTCACAAAAGGATTTACAAAGAACTGGCTGCAAGCCACAGAAGTTGTGAGGAGAGATGATAGCAACAGAGATCCTGGTCAGATTTATCAGGAAAAAGGCAACAGTGCCTTACACTGACAATCAAAAGGAGAACTGACATGTCAAGGAACAGGAAGGAAAACCACTGCAATCTCTATTTTCAAAATAATAATTCTTAAAGAAATCCTATTTTTTTTGTATGTTGATATAATAACAATTTATGATACAAGCCAGTCATTTAAAAGTTAATAATGAGATACTTCAAAAAAAGTGTCTAAATAAACATGTAGGATATTTGTAATACTATGGATTATAACCTTAGTGACAGTTGGTAAAGACTGGAAAGTTGGAAGATTGGAAGTTAATGGGAAGCTGTCCCTGAGATGTGAAGCATTTAATGAGACTTTCGTAAGAAAATAAATAATAAAATAAAACCCTAAATAACTACAGAACCCAAGTGTATTTTCAAATGTTCTCAACATGAAAAATAAACAGAGAGAACGATTTCTTTCTTGAACAAGAGAACATTTACCAAACATGCTTCTTCCCTGATCACTTGTTTAGTTATCCATCAGCCAATTTCAGATGACTGGTTATTATTCAGGCACCACAGGAGATTCTCTGTTATGATGTATTTTACAGAGCAGATTCCATACAATATGCACAGAGCTATCTGTAGGATGGAATAAATCTATGCAAGCTAATAGTAACATCCTGTTTATCCTTCTTGGAATATTGATTGTATAAAAACAGAAGACACAAACATACTATAAAGCATGCAATAGGGAGAAATTATCTACATATAGAAAAAAAACGTAGTAAGATCAACTATACAGCTCTATCCTCCATTCCAAACCAAATCCTTAATCACTATTTAACGAGCCTTTAATAAAGAGAATTGCAATAATTGGTAGGAGGGAAGACTATTGTAAAAAAAAAAATTAGACAAAATTTCAAATCCCTCCCCTCTTGAAATGAATGAGATGAGAATCTAAGAAAAATAAGTATGAGAGAGAGTGTAGAAAGCAAACATGACATTCACTCACATAAAATTTTCTGGATATTCACTCAAGGCCATATCAATGATATTCAAAGCATCATGATAATGTTTCTGAGCTGATAGTAAGAGTGCAAGGAGATGAAGAGAGTTGGCATCATCTCCTTGTAGCTGCAGAGCCTGACGAACATAACCCAAAGCTTCTGGTATCTGATTTGGGGAAAAAAAAAAAAAAGAAAAAAGCACCACTATTAAAAGTATTGCCTATTACTTGACTGCACATCCATAAAATTTTCAAAATACACATAACATGTAGAATTCTATACACTCCTGTATTCAGAAAGGGTATGGATCTTAGCAGATACTCAATATTTAAGCACTATCAACATCATTAAAGACTAGATTTAAGAGTTCCACTCTCCAGGATCTGAGCAGAGATTACATGTAAATACGTAAAAACATGGTAAAAACTGACTTTTTTTTTTCTCTCCATCTAGCAACATAAATGCTGAAGTAAGTGGATTTACTTATGTCTTATTTCTGATCCTAGAACTGGAAATACAGACAGAACTACAGAGAAATCTATAGATAAGACTGAGAGTGTTTGGAGAGAGTATTTCAGGGTTTTTTCTTATATATGCATATAGGCACAAGGAAAACCAGGTTTTTATTGAAGAAATCTTCGCCTGTATTCATCAACAGATAGAAATTCTAATCCTTATATGACAGTATGATGCTGCACTTTTAAAACAAAACTAACCTGTCTGGATATGGCAAGCTGCAGTGCCAAGTAAAATGCTGCCAGATGATCGGTTGGAGACAAACTGTGAGCCCTTAAAAACAAAGAAACAAAACATAAAAACAGTGAGTTTTGCCCCTGTTCAGACAGGTTAGACACACCCACAAATGGATATATATTTATTTATTCATATTCAGATCTCTTAACTGCCCGTATGCTCATATTTTGATTGAAGTAGTGTTCATTCAGCAACTTTTCACATACTTCTTAATCATCCGTGATTTAAAGGAAGCACTTTTGGACGTTAAAAATAATTTTTAATAGAAACTAATTGTGTAATTTCAGTATAAATCTATAAAATGAGCAATACAAAATGATTCTTCAAATTTATTATACTCTTAAGCAAATACTAGATGTAATTACTTCAGAATAGTTACAATAAAAATTAATTAAATGAAGCTTTCTAACACAAAAAGGAAAAAAAAATCCAAACAGAAATCCCCCAAAACAACATGCCTTCAAAGAGAAGAATTATATCATCTGCACAAGAAGTACCCAAGAAATCACACTGAATGTGGCAGGATGGTTCTGAAACACAGAACTCAAAAAGGAAAAGTAGTAGAACAGTAGGTCAGAGTTTTGTTCATTCCCAGACTCACAAAGTTCAAACACATTTTTAGTCCAGCACAGTAAGCCTCCTAGGAAGTCATTTCTTGGCTTTAAGTTGCTTTCACACTAAGTTAGTAGAGCATCTTGTTATCACAGAATCTTTAAAGTTGGAAAACACCCCTCTAAGATCATGAAGTCCAACCATCAAACAGCACCATCACCACTAAAGCATATCTTCAAGTGCCATATCCGTATGTATTTTGAACACTTCCAGGGATGATAACTCCAACACTTCCCTGGTCATCCTGTTCCAATGCTTGACAACTCTTTCCATGAAGAAATCTTCCCTAATATCTAATCTAAATCTCCCCTGGTGCAACTTGAGGCCATTTTCTCTCATTCTATCAGTTGTTAACTGGGAGAAAAGATTGACCTCCACCTGCCTACAATCTCCTTCCAGGTAGTCGTAGAGAGCAATAAGGTCCCCCATGGGCCTCCTCTTCTTCAAGCTGAACAACCCCAGCTCCTCAGTCACTTTTCACCTCAACGTCCTTCTTGTCCTGAGGGGCCCAAACATGAACACAGAATTCAAAGTGTGGCCTCACTGGTGCCAAATACAGAGTGACAATCACTGCCCTGGTCCTGCTGGCCACACTATTCCTGATACAAGCCAGGATGCCATTGGCCTTCTTAACCAGCTGGACACATTGCTGGTTCATGTTCAGCTGGCTGTTGACCAGCACTCCCAGGTCCTTTCCCACTGAGCAGTTTTCCAGCCTTTCTGCCCCAAGCCTGCAGAGCTGCATGGGGTTGTTGTGACCCAAGTGCAGGACCCAGCACTTGGCCTTGTTGAACCTCATAATGTTGGCCTTGGCCCATCAATCCAGCCTGTCCAGATCCCTCTGCAGAGCCTTCCTACCCTCCACCAGATCAACACTCCCACCCGATTTGGTGTCATCGGTGAAAGGACTGAGGGTGCACTTGATCTTCTCATCTGGATCATTGATAAAGATGTAAAACAGGGTTGCCCTCAATACTGAGGGGGAAGACCACCTGTGACCAGCTTCAGCTGGATTTACTTGCTGTGTTGCAACGTAAAAGAAATCTAGGCTGGACAGCTTCTTTATCACAGCATTACAGTAAAAGGCTGCATAAGATCTGACTCATCATGAACCTATTTTTGAAGTTCAGATGTAGAAGTTTATGCTGATGATCTTTTTAGCAAGTAGAAGTTTCGCTGACAAAAGCATTGAGATGCCCAATAGCAGAAGTGTTTTTTGATTACTCACTCTCAAAATATTTCTAACTACTGTTGTTGCAAGTAATCCCAGTTACTGAAACACAAAATAACTTTTTTCCATCTTTTTAAAAAATTGTGTTTGTTTTCTTGTTTTTAATGTTTTGGACAAATGTACACTCTGAGTCTTATTTATTGTATTATCCTATAGAAGTTGTTCTTGTAATACACTCTACTATTTTCCCCTGTAGTACAATCTTTCTGCTTTTGAGCAGGGCAATGTTTGAGCATAAGAACAAAAAAAAATTATGGCTGTACCCCAAAATGATGTGTAGTAAGTACTGGGCAGCAAACCTGGAACTATTTTTTTATTTCTATTTGTTTCAATCTTCCAGAATGCTCATTTAGCAATAGGATGTGTAATAATCATCTTTGGAATATCTAATGAGTCGTCTCCATTGGGATGAAATAACAAAATTGACCTTCAAATCATTACAATCACTAAGAGAACTTTCTGCTTGTGACCTGTGCATTTCTGTCTTCCTGAATTCAAAGAGCTGTAAAGCTTCTTCAGTTTAGCAACTACACCCAGCATGCTTCGAAGTAGTTTCAAGTTATTAAGGAACAGTTTCATATTTGGTAACTTCACCTCCAAATTGGAGATTAGAGGCACAGAAAAGCCTGCCCAGGATCAGTCCTTTTAAGTTCATAAATTAAACAATACTAAATGAGAACAAGAGATTTTAACTTAGTGAGTACTTGTTCAGTCACCCAAGCTCCAGACAGTGAAAGAATAAAGCTGTTACTATCTATCTACCATTTGGTGAGTTGTGTGAAACTTTAATTCACACCAACCACAGGAAAAGCACTGAAAGTCTTCCAAATTAAAAAAAAAACAAGTCAAACAAACACCCACTCAGTACTGTGTGAAGACAGTAACAAGCACCTTCTTGACTGACCACTATCACCAACTGGTAAGCCTTGAAATCTGGCTCAGACAAGGGTCCAAAACATAACTAATTCTTCAGGGCAAATATTTCTTCAGGAATTGGTCCTCAAGGTACGTGATTAAAAAAAACATTAAAAAAAAAATTAAAGCAAATGGCACATCAAAATACTGAGTCCAGTACAGGCTGCTTGCTTTAAGTAGGAGATGAACAGAGAATTCCAACTTCCATCTCCTAGAAGACATTTATTTTTCACATGTGGGAAGAGAAAGTGGGCATGACTCTGGTATGTTGAACATAACATACTCTCAGTGGTAGCAAATGTTCAGTATCATCCTATATTTATGTTACCAAAGTAAGGAACCAGCAATATTATCAATCATATTGAAGTGTATTTCCACTATAGCTGATCTAACAGATATAAGTCTCTCTATGAACACAAGCAGGGAAATATGTTAATATGGAGAACAAACGCCTTTAAAAACATACTTTTTTCCATTTTCTTAGAAGGTAGTTATGGGGTTTTTTAGATGGTTATTTTGGAGGACCAAACCATTCTACTCAAGATTCTGTATGGAGTCCAAGCCATTCGTATGAGCAATATCACTAACAGCAATATTAGCACTTCACTAGAAATTTCAAAACGTACACCCTGTACATGGGTAAAACCTCTGAAAGACAATGTAATTAGAAGTCTATGTACACATTCATTCTGAGAAAGGACAGCTGAAAGGATGACTATATAACTTATCATCAATAACCTAGAACATACAGTTAGAAATACAAAACATTGTTTCTAGGATATTGCATCAACTGAAAGCAGATGCCACTAATCCTCATGTTCCTAAGGCCTTCTGTGCATAAATTTATATTCTGCTAGTTTTGAAACAGTGATGATTAAGTCAGTAGTGGTAAGATGGATGGGTGAGGAACTGAGGTATAAACCAGGAGGTGGAAAGTTCAGTTTCAACGTGGAGAAAGAATGCTGAAGTAATAAAAAAACTAATTAGAACCACCAAGGAACAAGAAGAGTAAAGATAGGTTAAAACATATTTACATACAGAGGAATAGCTAAGACAAGACAGAAATAAGAAGGACCAATATATACCAGCCTCACTCTAAAGTTACCTGCAAAACACTTTTTCAATCCTATTCCCTCAGACACAAAATCACCAACAAAAAGCCAGGACTTCATTTCACGTTAATGAACAAATATGTTTCCCTCCATTTAGGCTTATCTCACCACAGGAGGGTTTTCAATGATATGAAACATGAAAGAGACATATTAAGATGCTGCAGCGCTTTGGCCACCTTTTCCATCAAGATTTGTTTTTTCTGTAATTAGGGTAGAGAATTCTCATTCACCTGTTTATTGTCATTTCATTTGCAGAGTCAAACCCTTGAGAATGAACTACAGTCATCCCCAAGGGCATTGCTTCCATGTACGATACTTGGAACACAGGGTATTTGCATTGTCACTGCCTACACTGTTACATATCCAGATAGAATTTTTAATTTATCCCTAGTTTACTACCTTACTACCTGCAGTTTGCCCCTCACCCACAGCAGCAGGGCCTCAATTATTGCTCTGCCTGCTACTATGGAGGTAAGTGCAAAAGCTTGTTATACAACCTGATCAGCGGCTGGTTGGCTCTTAGAAACACTATCACATCGAACCATTGAAACCTTACATCATATGACTTTTTCTTCTGGATTAGAACAGAATATTTGAGCAAATATTTTATACTAGAGAGCAACACAACTGTCTCTAAAATTAAAAAGAAGGAAATCTGTAGAAATCAAACTTAGGTAATTCTGACAGAGGATGATGGAAATAAATGCTAAAGAAATACATTCTGTACTCAGGAAGGGAGACTCCCAGAGGTGAAGCTGTCATTACACAATCTTCTACAAGTCTCTCTTTTTAACACACAACAAAAGTTTTCACTACATATAGCAGAACAAAATGAAAAGATCAACACCCACTCACCTCTGAAATGCAAGAAGAGCCTTTCTCTGCAAGACCTCTTGCATCCCTCGCAAAGATGCTAAAAAGGATATATTTAATCAGTGATATGAATGATGAAGATATTTCATTCCACACGCTAACTGAAGAAGCTTTAATACACTGACTGAAAAAACGGTTGCACATAGAAGCTTCAATTTTATGTCTAGGATTCTGCTGGGTATCCTTTTCTAGACAACATGGGAATTTTCAAATGTGAATGTTTATTCTCATCTTACCATCAGTGGCCTGCAGACTGTAAGTCAATCCCAGTGCCAAGTAGCCTTTTGCTTTGAACTCTGATGTTTTGTCCCCAAGATCAACAACTGCCTTGGCAAATCTTTCAGCTTCTTCCAACTGAAAACATTATAAGACATCCACGTAAGTCTAAAACTAGCTAAATATTACATTAGAATGTGAAGTATGCACAAAATATATATTATGCACAATGAGTCTGTTAAAATCTCAGTCATGACTGCTTTTAAGGATCATTTAATTTCTCATTAGACTTAGCTGCCCTACTAAATACTGAGTAAAGAAAATAGATTTTAAGCTGAAACACTCATTCTTATGGTAGAAACTCTTGTCACATAACACACTGTTTTTACTATTTTTCTCTTTTTTTTCTTCTTCTTTTTTTAATAAAAAACAGTATTTCTGGTCCATATATGCCATCTACCATTTTTGCATTTTTTATAAATAAGAGTTCTTGGCCCATGAACAATTTCTTTTGGGAAATCAATCACAAGAACTATGTCTCCTGGGGTAAAAGGTATATCCATGCAGAACTCTGTTTTGAATACTGTGTTGCTAAATGTATGCAAACTCATAAACAGAGAAAGATGTAAAAAAATTAAGGTTTAATAGCACACCCATCCTAACACATTATTTAACAATCTAGAAAGAAAAAAATTAACATTTGAATCCATTCCAGTAAATGTAAATGCTAAGTACAGTAAACTACTCCATATGGACTCATTCCATAGGGAACAATTTACAGAACTAGGATCCGCTTTAATTAAGACTGTATTTTTGTCAGCCTCAACGAGTCATGTTTCTGCTACTACTCTATTTTCTCAGTTTCTGATTGTCTATTTTCTCAGTTTCTAATTGTGACTTTTCCCTCCTCTTTTCCTCCTTTTTTAAATATACTCATTCTTCTAAAAATTACACATATATTTTGAAAACCACATGATGATGTTCAATCACCTTAATGTTGATTTAGAAATACACTAATTTCAAAGTTATCTAAAATACAACTCAAGTAGCTTTTTTTTTTTTAAAGACACTGTCCCTGCTATGAATTCATGAACACCAGCTACCTGAAAGCATGATACCAACAGAAGTCTCTTTGATTATAAGAGATTTGTCTCATTATCTTCCAAAAATTAATTTTCCTTTTGCACAGAGGAAAGAGAAGTCTAAGTTGCATTTATAATCTGCCTTCCAAGAACATTCAATTTCTATACATTTTAAGCTAGGTCTTAGATCATTATCAAAATACGCTACCCTGATAAACATAACCATTGCTGTCAAATATTTCCAATTAGCCATTCAAGCAGGGATGTACATGTGCTGTACTTTTAGAGGTGCCAAAGTGCATGCAGTCACTGCGAGAAAGTATTTGCTACATCCCTAAACCAAGATTTCAGTACAGCTCTTGCTGAAAAGACAGAGTGGCAAAGCTTACCCAGTGGAGAGATCCCATACAGAGCTTTGCAGCAAGGAGTGGAATAGTTGCATCATCTGGTTTCAAACGTATACATTCCTTCAAGACTTTAACAGCTCGAGCAGACTGTTAAAAACATTTCCCATTGAAATTACTAAAAGCATAAATAAGAATCTTCTATCTGTGAAATGTATTTCCATCATTTACTTTATTTTTCCCACATGAAGGAGACATTACTACACATTTTGCTGAGAACTTGTCACAACTACTCATGCCAGTGCAACACAAGACTTTAGGCATTGCTTTTGTTATTTAACCCCTATGAACTACCATTAAACATCCCCAGAAAAACATTTGCCGAGAATGTAATTCCAGTAGTACACAATTCAGGAAACAGTTTGAGATGCACTTAAAACTTTGCTAGGCCTGTAACCTCACAGCCTTTGAGCCAGGCAAACGAAAGAGAAGGAACAAGACAGAGTTCTCAGAACAAGCAATGTTTTGGTGTTCTTTGGGAGTTACAACAGCAATTAGGAATAGTTCCGATATAAGACAGACTGGCTCTTTATTTTCCTCCGTCCAATCTCAATTTTGAAGATAACTCAAAGTATATAGAGAGTAGGAAGAAGAACCAAGCCTCTTCAGAACCAATGTCCTGCTAAAATATTTTCTAAGGAAAATAAATTCCTTTCCCTTATACTGAAAATAAGCAAATTATCCCCATTGAGAATGATCTTTTAGAAAATTAGTTGTTTACATTACATAATAAATGTGATTTATTTTCTTTAACATGACAGGGAAAAGCAAAAATAACTGAAAATAGAGGATTGCATCTGATAACGTAAGTTCCTAGATTATAGAAAATTTTAAAAATATCCATCAGTTGCCCAGAATACACAGTCTCAAAGACAGCAACACTAAAAGACAGAAATTTCTAAAGGGAAAAAAAGCGCAAGAACATCAAGAGAAAGCATTAATTTGTACCTCAGTATAAAATTTGTTCATCAAAACCATATTTAAACAAGTTTTAATAGGATCTGGTACAATTCACTGCTTCCATTCAATCAGGTGATCTTAAGATTGTTGGTAAGACAGTTGTTACCATCACCTTTCAGTTTTCCTTAGTTAGAAACTACTGAAATAACAACATTCTTTGTACAGCACCAGGCATAAATTCAGGAGTACAGTGTACTTAGGGGATTTAAGGATTAGAATTATTTTCAAAAACACTACAGATGAAAATTATGGAAGTGCCAAATGTTGTTATCAAACATCATCAATACAAGAATCACGTAAAAAAATTCAGACTTACTTTTCCTGCTGCCATCAAGGACAATGCAAATTGATACCAGAGATGGAACTCCTCGAATGCAAACTTCATGGCTCTTTCTAAACACTAATTACAGGGGGGAAATTGTTATTTAAGGGCACATTCTTCAATTATTAAGATATACAGTATATAGATTTTCTTATAGACTCATATCTAACATACATGTAATTAACAATTTAAATCATCCAAATACATGAAAACAACTGCCAGATTCTATATGTAAAAGAAAGAATTTAACAGAAAACTGTTTTCCTGTTTATTATGTTTGTTTAAATATTCCTGCTGGTACCTGTATTATGTAGTCTGAAAGAACGAATGATAAATAGCAGCTTACTAAAGATACCATCTGTAAAAGGCAGGAGACAAGTCTTAAGTGAAAAAAGTATATAGCCTCTTCCTAAACTTAACAAGCAATGGCACCACGAGTACTTATAAGTACCATTTAAAAGCAGGGGTGGTGTATAAAGGTTCACTTTTCTGTTTTTAAAAAGTTTAACTTCACACTCGATATTCTGCTGAGATTTTAAAGTAAATAACTAAATGTCAAAAGAAAATTCATTATTACTATACCAAGATTAAATACATTAAATTAGCATTATATGCTAATTTTGGATGGTTTATATCTCCTGTTGTCAATAAGAATTATTTCATTTTGCTTCCAGAGAGTACAAAGGTAAAACACTTTTCTGGATTAAACTGATTTAGGAATTAATTTTCTGGACTGCAGAGTCCAATTTCTGCTCTGACAGCTACAATGTACATAAACTATAAACCCATGAATTATTTTTCACATTGAAACTCAGCCTTAGCATTACAGAAAGCACAAACCAGTGTGTAGTGTGTTCCCACACTGTAACAGAATTCGATGCAAAGCAAAAAGACCACAGAAAGAAACAAATACATAAGTTATGTGTGATATCTTCTATTTTAGACACTCCCTTCCACAAACTTGGCAAAAGAAAAATGTTGCTAAACCGCTCTCTCTCACCCTCCAATAGCTGTGGTACTAAACCAAGTGTCTCTAAATCAAGGAGAATTAATTCAGGCTTATCTTTTCAAATATGCTTTTAACCACAACTCTACCCATTTTGATACCAGTGTTTTACATATGATTTAAGTAATTTCAGTACTGCTTCCAGAATGCTGACCTACAGCAGCCATATAATCCCAGAGGTTCACACAAAATAAGCAGCACACAGAAACAATACTCACAAGTTCAAATACATTTATAACTTTTTAGACTGCTTAATCATACTTTCATCTCCCATTGTCACATATTAATACATTAACACATGTATGTGCATTAATTATACAGAAATACTTGTTCACAATAACAAAAATTAAAATTTTGTTTTCTTGGCCTTGCCTAATTAAAAGCTCATTACCAGTTCTAACCAGTAGACAATGAGGTTGAAGAAAATGATACTTTAGGCGTTTATAATTTTGCACTTATAAGGACATGGAACACAACTCTAGACTATTCTAAAAGGTTTGAGCTTCATGTACTAATGATCTATCTACCATTCATGCAACAACATGAACACCTCATAAACTGAATTCTTCTGAACAAAGTAACAACAATTTCAAAGAGCTAAAGGCTCTATCAAGAAATCCATATCAAGCAATAGTACCTAGGCAGACTGTAAAATAGGGTTCAGGATAATAGCTACTGAACTAACTGAAAATGCATTCAGCACAATCCCTCTTCTGAGGAAAATGTAACTGTTGATATTGCCTTGTAAACAACCACAAATCACTCCATGAACAGGTAACGTTGAACACATTACTAAATTTTGTTGCTCAGCACTATGGTCTCCTGAAAAGAATATGCTTGAAGTTAGAGTTGAAAGATGAAAGGGCGAAAATCTAGGAAAATTTCTGGTCTGGAAAGCATCTCTTCTAGGAGGGTATTAATAAGTTCAATATGCTGTACCCTACAAAGCTTAAAAACCAACCTGATGACAACCAGAGAACTTTAGGAAAGAATTATGACTGTATAAAGTTCTTTCATCTAGCTGAAGCCACCATAAGAAACTGAAAGTCCATTGTACGTAAACTCAATAAAAAAATGAGACCTTTTCAATTAAGAACATAACTCAGCAATAGAACAGTTTAACAACGATAAAACAGATTTTTGATAATTTAGTGTTTTTATATTACAACTACCTACTTCCATAAGTAATCAGCTATAGATAAACCAGAAGATGACAATAAGACATTGGAACTGGTGGGTGAATCCCATTTCTACAGTCAGAATAACTTCCTGCTTTCTAACTTGAAGTTACAACAGCTCCTCTAGAGCAACCATAATCAGTTCACAGAGAATGAAGCACTAAAAAATTAAATGCCTATTACATAACCGAACAGAATGTTCCACATTTCTGAATTTGTGTTTATTGTAATACTTTAGATTATAAAGGTTACAGAGTATGGGCTGCAGGATTCGAGGGCAGATATTCTCTACTCACTAAAATGTAAGAGCTTCTTGAAGTCTGTGTTTTCTGCTGTGCTTTGGATGACAAGAAAAGCAACAAATGAGATGTTCTAATCATTTCCTGGTAAGACCCTTGCTGCAGCTGTATATCTAGAATATCTGTATGCTAAAATAAGTATTGTCTATTATACCAGATCAGAACATGATTTTTTTCATGTTCAGAAAAGATACTTAATGAACATGTAACAAATATGTTTTGATTATACTGAACTGAAAGTATTTTTCCAACATAATGGAATTATTTTTTCTTTTTTAAGAGAACGTGTCAAAAGAACATACATACAATTTTGATGGAATATTACTACAAAGATGCTAGACAAAGATTAAAAAAAAAAAGAACAAGAAAAGACCTTAAAACAAGCCTTAGGTAGACTTCTAGTGTCAAAGCCTAATAAGCCATGGCTAAAAACTCTCAACTAAGCAGCTGGTCAAACACAGAGTCTTTTATTTTCCATGTACTTGTGGTTCTGCTTTTGTCTGTAACCAAGATCACCACCAGCCCAAGCAACTCCTAAAAGGCACTGAAATCAAAGATCTAAATCCACTATTTAGAACATTCAACTGTGCTCAAAACAAAGAAGGAAAAGGAACAGGCAATACTCATCTGTTAGCTACAGGGGCTAAACCAATCACATAAGCAGTGAGGGAAGCAAGCTCTGTGCCTTTCTCCAAATGAGGGGACTATGAGACTCTCTTCCTGCACTGCAGGATATTGTCCTGGACTTCAAGACACATAGCTAAGAACAGAGATACCTCCAGCTTTCCTGATGAAGCCAAAACCCAAAAAACCTCTCTCTTAAGAAAGGTACAAAGAACTGCAAGCAAGAAGTGGCATCTACTGTGACACTACCCAAAATGCCCCAAAGGAGACAGTGGAGGAACTCCCGGAACTTGTGATGTTTCCATAAATACAGTGGCTGTATTACATTCTAAAATTAATCACAAAATATCCACAGCAAAAAAAAAAAACCCTACATACAGCCATCATGATACCAAACAAAATAAAAGAATCAGAATTGGAACCCAGGGCTGCACTACTTTGCCCAGTTTCTAAGCTACTACATAAAATGGAATGCTGCTAGTTGTTTGAAGAAAAAAGAAATCAGAGTTATCAAGTTTGGGCTTTATTACAATATTTTTTATGTCTTTCAGAAGTTCTAGACTGAAATATATGGAGGGTCATCTCTTGCAGCTAAAATTACCGGAAGGTGATAGTGTCTGTCGTGGCAAGCAAATGGAAATATTCCTAATTAGATTATGTTGTAGGGTTGCAGTCCTGTATGAGATTTGTTCTGTGAAACAAACTTCTATTGTACTGACTAAAACTGACTTGCATTGCAACTTTCAGCTATGAAGTGCTTTCAAGAATAAGAACACCCACATTGAGAGCTTAACATCACAGGAGATGCAGATTAATGGGTGACTATCAACATAGATCACAAAAGAACTGGAGCACTTTGTTTTTCATTTTTATCTCGATAGAAGTCCTGTATTATGGCAGACAGAAACCGTGTCCAAGCAAATCAATCCTGGATATGCCTCCCTAGCACATACACTGAAATATCCTTTCTGTACACCAGTAGTTAACTTTGGTAAGCAACAGTACCCTGCTCCTGGGTGAGCACTGTTTGAGCAGCACATCTGCTCTGCCCAAAAAGCTGTAGTTGTTTCTCAGGTATAAAACTGTTAACAATACTTGACCATTCCCTGAAGAAGTAAATTGCCACAATCTAACAAAACACATGCGAGTTACATAATCAAACATAAGACATTTGAGATAGAGAACACATTTCCCACACACCTGAAAAAGAATACATTTCCTTTTTATTAACTTTAAAACCATTTTACAAACTATGAGGACTATGAATCACCCCAAATATTAAAAGATGTAAAAGAAAGTTTTCTTGTCAAAAAAATCACAAATCTTTTTTCTAGGTAATTATATCCATCATTTTTATATCCACAACAGTTTTTATTTTTTGCTGTTCCTTCTTGCTGTCTCCATTTAATGTGTACCCTTTCAAGCAGATCCAGGCATCCCAACCTAAAGATCAGGTGAATTTCCACAGCATTAAACATTTACCACACCTTCCACACAACTTCTGTGCTTGACCACCTCAAGTCACTTGTGGAAATTTAGACAGTAAGCATTCTGGGGTTGAAATTACCTCCTGTACTAATAGAGTACTTAGAATGACAGTGTCCATATTTGTTTATCCCTTCATTACTACCACAATTAACATGATTAACAGAAAACAGATGACAACACAGTTGGATATTAATGACAAACCTCTGAGAGCATTTCATACTGGCCTCTTCTTCCCAAGGCTATAGTAAGTAAATCATAGACGACAGATGCACTTTGCAAGCTGATGATTCGATCATTTTTGTGTTCAGGTATTCTGCTCAGTACAGCATCACGGTTAGCCTTAAACATACCACAAATAATGAAATCAAGTCAGTCACTCTAATTCAAGTTATATTTTCACTCAAGTAACTACCATTCTATTCAAACTGACAGCCAGCAGTTGATATAAGTGATACAGAGAGATAGCATCTGCTGCTAATTTATAGATAGAATCACCGATTTTATACATTAGTGGAAAAACTGGTGTTTTTACAAGGACCTATTTTTAATTACTTCACTCTAATTACATAAATTAAGTAATGTAATTAAAATTACTGAAGAGTTCTCAGAAACAAAATAAGGTGGGGGTTTTAATACAATTTATATTCATCTTCTAAAACTTATTTTTATTTTTCCATGCTAGTAAAACACATCAGAAGGATCTTCAAATCCTGTACATCAGCTTCTGCAAAATAAGGCAATCAATTTCTTTTCTCTTCACAACATTATGACACTAGCCTCTCACTTGTAGGAAGATAACCTGTCCAGCATAACCACAATCACCTTTAGGGGTTACTACTGAGAAGTGAAAACTGACTCTGGTTCTGAAAGCAAGTTTGGAATCAGACCATGTTTGGAATCAGACCATGTTTGCAAGAAGGCTTTGTACTTTCAATCCTGTTTTGTGAAAGGCACATTGTAAATCTAATTCCTTAATTAAACTGTGCCTTTTGAGAAGGAAGAAGGTTGAGGTAGAAACGTATTAAATGAATTGACCATGTTCACAGAGAAATCTTGTTAAAGAGCAAAGAGTAAAATTCAGGTTCCCCAATAGCTAGTACATATATTGAACTATCCAGTACTTCTCCCACTGTACCACCAAGCCTCTGAAAATACTTTATCATGTTATTTTACCTTTTCCTAGTTTTCTTGGTGTTTAATATTCCCATTGGTACAAATGCTATATCTGGTAATTTGAAGTCAGAAGTTAAAGATCCTTCTTTCTCCTCATTGTACCTTTTCTTTATTTTTAATTACATAGGGCACTGTCCCCTTAATACATTTACTTAAATACACTACACATCTTATTTCTTTCTTTTCCAAATGTAAGGAATGACACACAAAAAGGGATAATACATTTTTTTCTGCTTTAACAGGATAACATTTTAAGCTCTGAACATCCTCAATATATCTTTAAAATCAGAATAATTAAATACTGGAAGTTTTTCAAAGAGATGCATGGAGTGTAAAATGCACAGACATTTCAGGAATTATCAAATGAATAATCAATCCACAGTTTGGTTCGAAAACACACACTCCCAGCATGCACACCCCAAACCAGACATTTTCCTTTCTTTTGATCAAGAAGTCTTTTCAGTTTTTCCTAACTATGCTGCATAATATTTAGTCAGCTTCAAGAACTTCTTTTTAACTCCGCATTTAATCACTATTTGACTCAATTCCTTTCAAGTACAGAACAAACTATGAACCAGCACTCCTTGTGAAAAAAAGGCTGCCAATCCCAAAGCAGTATTATAGGAGAGGATGTCTTGTAATTATTAAAGATATCTTACATATTTGAACAATCATTTCTCCGTAAGTATAAAACAGAATGTACATACAAACTTAAGTGATCAGTATTTCAGGACTGTCACAGTCTCAGACACAATAAAGGGACAACTAGTTGTTGCAGTGAGTCACTTGGCCACAGTTACCACACACATTTTACACCTGTAACACATCTGAGCAGTATAACTTAGTTCAACAACAGCAGAAGAAAAGAAATGCTCAGCCATTTTACCACTGGTTAAGAATCACACATTGTGGTGATCAGTGACACAAAGCCTAGCTGGAGGCTGGTGGTGTATCCCAGAGACTGAAGCTGGGCCTGATCCTGTTCCTGATCTGGATGTAGGCTCAAGTATGTTTGCAGATAATACAGAACTAGGAGGAGGAACTGACAGGTCAAAGGGCTGTGCTGGCCATCCAGAGGGACCTCTATGGGCTGGAGGAACCTGACAGGAACCTCATCAAAGGCTTCAACAAAGACTTGGAAGTGCAAAGTCCTGCATCTGGGAAGGAACAACCCCAGGCACCAGTATATGCTGGGGCCTCCCCCTCAAAAGCAGCATAACAGGAAAGCATCTGGGGATCCTTGGTGGGCACCAAGTTGAATCAGAGCCAGCAACGTGCCCCAGCTGGAAAGAAGGCTATTGATAGCACAGGCTGCATTAAGAGCCTCCCCTCTGTTTAGCACTGGTGAGGCCACACCTACAGTACTGGGCCCAGCTCTGGACTGCCCACTACAAGAGACATGGAGCTACTGGAGACAGTCCAACGAGTGCCCACTAGGATGAATAAGTGACTGGAGCATCTCTTCTGTGAGAAAGGCTGAAAGAGCTGTGACTCTTCAGCCTGGAGAAGACAATGTTCAGGAGGGGAACCTTACCAATGTGTAGAAATATCTGAAGGAAGGACACAAGGAAGAGGGAGCCAGGCTCTTTTCAATGGTGCCCAGTGACAGGACCAGAGGCAGTGGGCACAAGCTGAAACACTAGAGGTTCCCTTTGAACATCAGGAACCAGTTTTTTTACTGTGAGGGTGAATGAGCACTGGCATAGGCTGCCCAGGAAGGTTGTAGCATTTCTCTCCTTGAAGATATTCAAAAGATGTCTGGACAGAGATGCAGCCTGCTCGAGGTGGGCTGGCTTGAGCAAGAGGTTCAGACAAAATGACCTCCAGAAGTCCCTTCCAACCTTAATCATTCTGTGATTCTGTTACCACAACTCAGCTGACATGCAACACATACGTGCACTGTAACGTGAAGGTATCAGTCCTTCAGATCACAGAATGGTTTGGGTTAGAAGGGACCTTAGAGATCATCCTGCCATGGGCAGGGACACTTCCCATTAGAGTTGCTCAGAGCCCCATCCAACCTGGTCCTGAATGGGCCTTTTTCTTCACTAGTTCACAGACAATAAAAGGAAGGGATCATACTACTTTAATAACACAAGAGCATCTCAAAACACCAGTGATTACTCCCTCTTCTATAAGTGTTCTTATTTCTTTCCCAAATACTGGTTTCAAAATCATAAATCACATACTACTTCACAACTATTACACCTAGAATGTCAGCGTGCATGGAAGCTGAAATAACAAGTCTCAGAAAGATAAGTTTGTAAGGATGAATATTTTTATGCTCAATCTTGCCCTTTCCCCCTCCAAAACTAATTTGAACAAATGATTTAGCCAAAGTAAGTCAGCCATGTCAAAGAATTTACACTCCCTTGAAACAAACTCTTTTACCTGAGATAACCTGCAATAATTAAAAAAAATAATAAAAAAAAAATAAATTGAAAGCTCGCTAAGGGTTTTTTTCTACAGTGACAGCACTTGATATAATTAGGCAGGTCTGATTCACAAAGGAAAAGTTGTATGTAATCTGAAAGGAAACTTAACAAGGCAGTACTTTTAATTTGGTTTCTGGCTTCTTAGTGATGATATGTAAGGAACTACACATGCAAACACAGTAATCAGCAGTCAGATCTTGCAGAACCAGGACTGCTTCGACTTCACACCATGACCATAGTTCACATCAGAATTCTGTACACCTCCACAAGCTGCTAAGGCACATTACAGAGGCACCTCTCAGTGCTAAGTATATACTGCAGTAAAAACAACATATGATATATGGAAATGTTTGCTCAGTCTATTTTTCTGTAATCTGAGAATCAAAATCTAGACAGAATTTCTAGAGTCTGTCATGAATATTGCAAGGCAGATCACTAGGAATGAGGAAAGTAGGCAGCACTACAATGTAAATGTGTGCCACTTCAAAATAGTTCAGCTAGGACAATGTTCACTAAAATGCTCTGATCCTATTTAACTGTAGCAAACCAGAAATCCTGCCAAAGCATGTAGGCATTTGAATCACCTATAGAACTTAGAAGACTACATCTCATTGATGTACAGCGAGACAGACTGCATGATGCCTGAAACTGTAGAGGTTTCACAGCTCCAGTTAATAAAAACTAGCAAAGGCTTCAGCTTCAGCCTTTCATTTAATTTTATCTGAGAACATAAAACTGACATGGTATGAGAATGCCAGTATGTGGCAGTTGATTGATGACTAGCAAAATCCTACTAGAGGAAAGTATGGAAGGCTGATTAAGGGAATAGCAGGTCATTGAAAGGAATTATTGAGGAAATGAGGACTTCCTAAAAAAAAAATACAGTAGCAAAGGCTGAATGTCAGTATCATTAAAAATCATTTACAAATTTGAGTGACTGAAGGATTATGCATAATAGAAAATACTTTCTGACAATGTTTACTATGCTTATCCAATAGTCTTTGATTTGCTTTTAACAACAAAAATAACTTAGATTTTGATTCTGTCTGAATAGCAACCAGTTGGTGTAACAGTAGTGCCAGATGAAAGACCTGGCTTGTTCACTTGTCCATGCTTAGAAGGAGGCTTAGTACAGCCACTCCAAAGGAGAAAAACTCCACAACACTTGCACACCTCATCTTGCTGGCTCAAAGGAACAGAAGCCTGAGTTTCAGAAGCAACTGCCTGCTTTCCTAACAGAAAACGGAAGACAAGGTAAAGTAAGGCATGGCAAAAAAAAGAGTTCTATTTTCATTTAAAAAAATCCCAAGGAAAACACACACATACAGTCTCTCTATTTTACCTACCATAGATTCACTAATAAGCAGCAACAGTAAGGCTTCTTCTGTATTTTCTTGAGGACAGAAGATGCTGTTCAAAACAAGAATTCAATTATTTAATCAGAGTACATTACTTTTAGGAGTAGCTCATACACATATATATTAAAAGCAATGTAAAACCTGGAAAACTTCCAGAAAAGCAAACAGAAAATAGTTTGCATAGAAAAATCAATTGGTTAAAATGCATTTCTTTGGAACGTTCTAAATTTACATTTCAGAAATGTTGGCCAAACACAGTAAAAGAACATAAGTACCACAGCTATCAGAGTTGAACACATTCAAATATCCCAGAATTGAACATAATTTGACAGCTGTAAAAAATAAACCCATACTTTAACTCGCCTCTGGTACCTAATTTATCTGATCTGAATCTACATCACTGATTCAGAGGTTAGAGAGAAAACTCTCATACAAGAACAGGATAACTTTTGTATTTTAGAAAATATGTGGAGAAATACTTCTATTGGTCTTTCATCAGATACGCCTGAGGTTTTTCTTCCTGATGCATTCGATAACTGTGAATATTTTTGAATAGAATCATGATGATCTCCACCCACTTGGCATAACCACTGTTAATTCCAAGAAGTTCAATTATTTGTTTTTAATGAAGTACACTGCCTTGTGGTTTAATACAGAAGGTTTGCATAGGAGTAGTTTGCAAACTTTACTGCTTTCTCTCAACACTGGATGCTTTCTGAATGCTCTCCTGGTGGACAGACAACAGTAATCTGCATTGGATACATGATTGGTAGGAATTCATCCATTCTTTCTCATGTATATAGGAAAAAACCCACCCAAATCAGTGACTGTGTTTCATCTCTTCAGATTTCTTCCTCTAAACTACTTCAGAATTTAGCATAAGTACTATTTCCTGTTAATCTAGTCCATTAGTTCCACAATAAACTGTTTAAATGTAAAAAATAATTTGTTGTTGTTAATAAGCAATTCCTAGAGTCCCAAGGATATTTAAACTGCAATACATTATGGAACGGAAACAAAACTTGTCCGACATTAAAACATCTTTTGATTTTTTTTTTTTTTTAAGCACTAGAAATATAAGTAGTAATTAAATGCCTGAAAGGAAATGGAAACTAAAAGACATCTGAACTCCAGACAGTTTGAAAGCAACATTGTGAACATATTGTGGTAATACACAACAGCTAAGACCTCAGGGCAGTTGTTCTGTTGCTTTATTTTTATTTTTTAATCAATGCAGCTGCTTGTCAGATTTTGAAGAGTATTCTAAATCCTAGAAGACAAATTTCTTTTTACATAACAAAGACATTTCAAAACACAGTTACTCATGAATAAGAACCACCCAGGATAAGAAATAAGGAGTGATGAGGCGGCGTCAGAGAGCTCCTCATTTAACTATCTAGTCTTCTCTGTAGAATTTAACAACCTGGAAGAAGATTTAACCTGACTGACAATGGCTCCCAGAGAGCAGAATAATGATTGGAAAGAGCTGCTGGAGAAATTACTTTATCAGAAAAAAAGGGAAGTTGCCCCAAAGAGAACTACTAAAAAGTGACTTCTCAAAACAAAAGCAAACATTATTTTCACCTACAATTTTAAAACATATCTTTGAAAACAGGTTGTTGTTTGTTTCAAACAGTGAAGATCCTCTCCACAAAGAAATTACTGAGAAATTTCTTTGACCAGTCTAAGCATAAAGCTCAGTTCAGTTGACTGAACTCAGACATTTTTTGTGTCTCCTGACAGATGCAGGTACATGAGTAATTTCAATGTAACAGGGTAGAACAGAAGAGGAAAGCAGAAGCGTGAAATGCCTATCAACCAAAGGCAAACCATGAAATTTATCCCCAGTTGAAGAACTGCTTAAACAAAACTGAAGAGGCAGTAACACAGAGATCTACAAAAGCATAAATGCTATTAGTCAAATTACATTCACCATCCTCAAAAGAACACAAGGCAGTTATTTAATGCATCAGGCAACATATTTAGAAAAAAAAAGTGTATCATGGACTCAGAGTTGATGGTCAGAAGAATACCTAGGAAGAAGTTTACTAGGTATCTGTCTTGCTATTCATTGTCTTTAGTACTTACTTTCAATCACTGCTGGAGATGAGATACTTGGCTAGACATGTTTTATATGATATGGGGTTACCCAGTCTGACATGACAAAAGAAAAGGACTTAATTACACGCTCTGTTGAAATTGTGGAACTCCTCACCTGCATGTCCCACAAATGAGAAAATTAAACTGAACAAAGCCCCACTTTTGCCAGGAGGCATGATGCTACAAAGGATGAGTTGAGAATGGAGAATATAAGTTTGAAAGACTGAACCTGAGAAACCTGCTGTAAGTATTCTGGATCAAGAATGGAGAATTGCCTGAAGTCTTTGAAGAGAAAGGCCATTCTACTGATAGTAATAAAAGCAACATAATTATGTGGGCTTGCTGCTGTGTTAAGTATTTGTTAATGGAAATCTGCAATAAATACAGCTAAACAACTCAAAATAATGTCATACTGCAGGCATTTATGTTACAATATAAAGATCCTGCAAACACTAAAAACATCTCTCCATTATTTAAGGTAGGACTACTTCTTTAATCAATCTGCCACAGAAGCAAACTCTTTCTCACATAACAAGGTCACTTTATCATATTAACTAACAAGACATACATACTGTAAGAGAGAAACAGACTGTTCTTTAGGATTTGCTGTGTGATACCAAGTCGTTTGAAAAAGAGGATACGTGATCCTGCATAAAAGAGATTTCCTCATGCTTGGGCAATAAATGCACGCTTTCTGTGTGCAGGGATCAAGGTGTATTCACAAAAAGAGCTACTTCCTTTTTACCAAAAAAGGTTGCCTTCACGTGCAGTTTGTTAAATATGTACTTGCAGGAAACACAGTAGTTGTTTCAGCAGATTGATTGTTGAACTTCATGCCTACATCTTTTCGTAAAGCTCAGTAGACTGCTTTTAATAACTTCACATCCTAGATATAGTCAAACAAAACTGAAATTATAAAATCCACAATGCCTGGCTTTTAATCCAGCTGGACAACAATATAAATATAAACAATAACAATAATAAAGTCTTTGAAGAGAAATGGCCAAAAATGTCCTATGGAACAGAGAATAGTGTCCTCAAAAGACATCCCCAGATCATAATGATTTCACAAAATCACAGAAGAGTTGAGGTTGGAAGCAGTGTCTGGGGATCAGAGCTATTAGCTTTTAAGAAAAATTTAAAATTCAAGGAAATGGCTATCTACATTTAATACTAACCCTAATGGTGATAGGTTTTGAAAAAAAAAAAAGTTTACATTTTCAAGAAGGAAGAAATACACAAAACTACTTTAGAGTACAACATGAGATATACCACACAAAAACGATCCCTAACGCATCACTTATCTGAATCAATGAAAGATTAAAACTCAACAAAAAGGTGGCATCACAAAGAAATGCCAAAACTAATCTAAGATGACTAAAAGGTAGCTGCCTTGGGAAATAAACTACCTTTGAAACTGCCAGATAAATTTCTAGATATGTTTTGTTCTTTTCATAACGCTTCACAGACCAACTTCAATCTTTTCTTTCCTTTCTCTAATAAAGTAGAATAGGGGTCTACAAGCAGCAAACAACTTTTAAAATGTGCAGTCTCTGATTTGCCATCCAATTCATGTTTTCTTTTATACCCCAGGTATAATAAAGATAATAACTTTAACAAATGCATCAAGATAGAATAAAAAATTTTTACAGCTGAGAACAAAAAGTCTCATGTATACAGCACAAACTTCTGCTTAGAGAAGTTCCTTCCCTAATTCTCTTCAGGGACTATATATGTATATACATTTATTCACAGACAGCATGGGAAACATTCCCATTTATACTGCTCAATTCCTTCTACGTTTTGAAAAATGTAAACTAAATTACCCAGTCACTGGGTTACAACTGCAATTATAGAAACAAAAGAGGTATAAACTCAGCCATACTTTTCTCCAGTGTATACACGTGGTCTTCTGCTGAGTGCATAATTCTTAGTATTTGAACCTTTTCGAAGTGGATCATCTAGGGGTGACTGGTGAGGAGGATCTTCCAGTGGATTCCAATAACTCTGTTCACACATACCTCGCAACAAAATTTCTGCGAGTTGTCTTGCTATCGTCTGTAAAAGTGAAGGATAAATATTTTCCTTAGAAATGCTGAATACAAACTCTTAAAAAATGCTCAGATTTTATTCTAATGAAGAGCAGTTATGTAGAAAATATTTTCTGTTATTTTACAATATCCAAAAAACCAGGCATAGTGCTACTTAAGAAGTGAAAGTTCCCAGTTCAATTCTCTAAACACGAAGAAAAATAATGGCAAAACTAAACAACTTTTCAATTATATCAGTTAAATCCAGACACTTCTGAAGTATCAACAACACCAATTGCTGCTCCTAAGAGAGGAGCATATACAGGTATGTTTTTGGATATTTTGTTCTCAATAACGTCTACTGCCCCTCCAGGTCTGGAGCAGTTGTTTGCGTGGGAGAGACCACAGTGGAGCAGATGGTCCACACTGCAGTCTGCTAAGAGGACCATGGTGGAGCAGGGTGATATTCCTTGAAGGAACTGCAGCCCAAAGGAGGGTCCCCGTGCTGGAGCATGGGAAAAGTGTGAGGAGTAAGGAGCAGCAGAGAGGAACTCACCACAACCCTCCACCCCCCATGCACCACTCAGGGAATGGGAGGGTAGGGAGAGGAGGTAGAAGAGTCAGGAGTCAAGGATTGAAGTTGAACCTGGGAAAACGGGGTGGGAGGAAGGTGTTTTAGTTTTTGTCTTTGTTTCTCACTATCCCACTCTCTCTTAATTGACAATTAAATGAAGTTAATGTCCCCCAAGAAGAATCTGTTTTGCCTGTGACAGTAACTGGTAAGCAAACAGCCTGTCTTTACCTTGACCTACAAACTTTTCGCTTATTTCCTTCCCATCATGTTAAGGAAGGGGAGTCCAAGGGCAGCTGGGTGGGCATCTGGCAGCCAGACAAGGTCAGCCCACCACAGACAGTTACAGTTTGTGTGCTGACTGGAGCTGCGTTCTTTTAAGCCAGGAAATGTAACCTTACAAACTGGTGGATAACAGGTCCTTATCAATATGGTATCTGTCTATTCACCTCTAACTCATCCACTATATTTACTTATGCTTTACCTGCCTACCTAAATTCAGATGCTGAAATAGGAATATAGTTTACTATAACTTACCATTCGCAGGTTTTGTGTAGTTCTTGTTTCAACAGCTCTTAGTAACTCTCTAAATCTACCAACTCCTCTCGTCAAGTTCCTGGATATAAACATAGAATTTGACAGTATTCCAACTTGGATGTAGCAACACCATAATATATTATTTGATAAAATTGTCAAAACCCATGCTCTCTTCCCACCCCCCCATAGCCTCATTGCCTTTCTGTGAGATAGCTAGCTAGCTAGCTATTTTTCATCTGGGAACCCCACTACTGATTACCGTAACAACATTCCCTGCCAGTTTATTGAAAAAGAAACAGTTTCATGATCAGTAGATAATTCAAGAGAAAGCAAGAAAAAAAGTAAGAAGTAACCACCTCAAAAAGAGAAAAAAACAAAACTGAAGTTGGTCTCACTACTACAGTAGTTTCTAATTTTCAATGACATTAGGTTTCAAAGTATAAACTTTGGAGGAAAAAATCCATTTTAGTTTCCTCTTGACACCTTAAAATAGGGAGATAAAAAAGAAGTAAATCTTGAAACTCCCAGTGAAAGTAACATAAAATTTTGAGCTCCTTTTCAGAAGGGAAACAGCACAAACACATTAAGGCCCCCTGTGTGGTCAGACGAGGACTTGGGGATCAGTGTTCTGTTCTTGACTCCAAGGTGTGCCTTCTGTAACTCCGGTTTCTTTGTCTATGCTTCTTCCACTTCTGCCACCTAAACAGCTTTTGCAGAGATTCAAGACCCTCAGAGGCATCATTCATACTAATAATTTTAGCAGACCTGAACTTTCTTATCAAACAATGGATTATTTTGAATGGTCTCCCAGCTTTATCTTTTTCTCATCTCTAGATCAGTTGTGGGTTTTTTATTGCACATAAAAGCAGTTGAGAATATTTTATTTTATATTAATACCATTTGTCTTTGAACTGGTGAAGGACTGAGTTGGCTTTTTGTTGACATGAAAAACTGAATTCTGGCACCTCAACACAAAACACAGGACAGCCATTTCAGTATTTGAAATTTAGTTACAGAACAAAATAATTTCATCAAAAGCATATTTTGTGTTAAATCACTGCTGTTATGTCATATAGCTGTATTATCTTAAGGTGTGATGTTACGTGCAAGCTATATAACATTTATCTAAGACAGGTTCAAAAGAGAAAAGAAATATTACATATTGTGTAAGCTTTTATAAGTAAAAGCTCTACAGCACTGCACTATAAATTTGATGTTGAAATTGTCTTCCTTACTCTGCTGTCTTTATTTATAAATAAATTTAAAATACTGATCTTCTGAATTGCAAATCTTTACAAATTCAAAAAAGACAGCACTTACTATACAAATACTTCCTTTAAATTTAGTTGCAGAATACCTGAAACCAGTGTTGATGCAAGAGATCTTGCTATAGAACTGAAAATCTCCTATCCCTTTACCTAGAGACCTATTCATTTATTTTACTCTTCAGATTACATGACAGCACTTGCCTCTGTCCTGTTTTACATAATTATCAGTGTATTTCAGAAACTTTAGAGTCTCCACCACATCTTTCACTAGCAGAGATGTCATCTTTCATTATCACAAGTTCACCTTCTAAAATACTTTTATATAAAAGCTTATTTAAAAAGAACTAGCATTTCCAAATACAAGTTGTATGAATAGGTTGAAAGTTATGTCAAAGTATGCCACCAGTTGGCTAAAAAGAAATAATCACCAGTCACACAAGAAATAGTAATTGTTTGTAAAAAGCCCACGTGCTAAAGCAGAGCTTGACCACAGAGTGATCAGCACACACTAAAGAAAATTCATCTTGTGTAAATATCTAGCATGGAAACGACTGTGTGAAAGATGATACTGATTAACACATTTCACACAGGCAAGCCACAACAGCTAATGTATAATCCACCAACTTCAGATACTAATGAAGTCAGTAGCCCAAATTTTAAGAAATCCCCCAAATTCAATGGAAGCCTGATACCTTTGGCATCTTTGGAAAGCCAAAATACATATCATTCACTAATACCACATGCCAAATATTTTGGAGAGTCAAGAGCAGATCACTGGAATCCCAGCTTTAAGTCCTCTGCCTTACATGCATAATTCCCATGAATGGAGTTCTCTTTCAAAGACCATATTTCAAAGTGACAGATGGGTCCCCAAAACAAGACTGAAAAAAAAAAAAAAAAAAAACACCAAACCCAAAACAGACTTGCCAAAAAACTGAAATGATCCCTGCAAAATTGCCAAAAAAGAGTTATGAGCAAGAACTTGTCATCTTGAAACTTTATCTTCCCAGTGCAGATGAAACATATATTATGTAGCAGAACTTCAAACCACAATGCCTTTATGAAATTCTAGGAATTGGTGGGTTTTTTTCCATATGAAGTTTGTGTCTTTTGATGTCTTACAAGAATACAAAAAATACATCATGAAAAAAATACGCAACTTTCACAAGCCCTAAAGATTTCATGACAGGTTGTTAGTAGTTGCCTATTACATTTTTATAAGCATCTGCAAGGGACTGAAATCTGTGACTGAAGTTCTACTGTACCATGGAAGAAGCAGTAAGATTGTACAAGAAAAAGAAAAGCAGTTAAAATACAGAATTAGTTTTTGCTTCATAAAGCATTTAGCACTGATCCACTGCACAAGTCAGCACAAACACAATACAGATTTGTCAAGCATCTTCTATGTGAAATATACTAAAAAACAGACTTCAAAACTACAATCTAAAATCAGCCCAAAATTGAGTTAAATGCTTTGAGACAAGAAATGAAGCAAAATATACCATGAACAATATGGTAGGTCTCCACACCACGCTGCTTTTAGCAAAGTACATTTCCTGTATTTGTTAACAGTCTGTAACACTGGGGAGAAGAGTGGCGGCTATTCCGGCACATATTTTTCCTGCCTAGCCCAGGACACACACAGCTTTTACCTGCTTTTCACTACGATGTGCCTTCATGTTAGCAGTTCCGCCGTGCTGACTGAATGCCAGAGCAAAAGGGCACATTAACTTAGAAAACACAGATCCACAGTGTCTGTAAACGACTTTGAGATCCCTTCCTTTCTCAAGACAAAGAATTTTAACATGAACACGCACTCAGAGCTGACATGTTTTCAGTCATTTCAGACAAGACAAAGACAGCCCACAGATGGACACTGAGAGTTACACACATGGGTTTATATGACTGCCTCCCATCAGAACTGCACCTTCCTAGGTTTTAAAGACAATTAGAATGTTTGCTGCTTTAAATCTTCTTTCAGTAGCAATTTGCCAGTTAGGCTGAGAACCAAGATCTATCGAAAGTCTACGCAGATTGATGCCTTTAGGGCATATTTGCATCCTTGTGTCTACATACTTGCACCCTAAACCCCAACAATTCATGTTAGAACCTAATTAATTATTCTCATACAAGATCAACTTTTGTGCTCCTTTGATAATTTCAAACAGTATTTCTGTTTAGAATAATAAAAATATTTTAACTGCACTCATGCAAGAAGCATGTTTGGCATCAGACAACACAGTGGTTTGGCATTAGTGGTCCAGAAAAACCTCACACCCCAGAAAGGACTTCTTATTTTTGTAAACACACGCCTAAAAAGTAGAAAAGAATAAAAGAAACTGCTCAACAAGAAGCAATGTACATTTGAATGATGTTAGGATAAAAAAACCCAAATGCTTATAACAAAGGTAGTGAGATCTAATCACAACATACTCAACACAGGCTACAAAAGAAATGTTTTAAATTTAACCTCAGAAAGGTTGCTAAGGTTAATTTACTCTGTACTTACAGTGTATTTTGGTAGTATCTCCTCCATTAGTGTGAGAAAGGCTTTGTTTCTCAGGCATTTTCCTTATGCTTATCAATCTAAAAGCCCAAATATTTAGTCTACCATTGCCTTTTAAAGATTAAACACGTAATTAGAATAAATTTTGGTAAGTGAGCTTAGACCAACCCTCACCTGCTCTGCAATTTGGTGGTTGAATTGTTAGTACTTCTCCCATTTAAGAGAGAAAAGTATATCCAGAGCCATGCAGCCCCAACAGTGAATAGGCTAAGTTATTTATATTACCTTATTACCTCATTGCTGAGGCTTACTATATTACATTTTTTAAATATTCATCCTTTAAAAAGAGAGAAACCAAGAACAATGAGATCTACAGGGTTTGATCAAAGTGGTGAAATGGAAACTGCATTTTGGAATTGAGCTCACATTCCAAATGCACCTTTTGTTCTCTCTGTCTTGCTCTCTATATTTATATACAAAGAAGAAATGCAATGCTTGTAAACTCATTGATACACTGTAAGATTTAGAGTTGGGGTATTTCTTCCAAGGATTCAAATAGGAAATAAAAGAAAGGAATTATTTTAAAGGTAAGGAGTAAGAGCATGCCAATGAGAACAGTGGCATTTCAGTAACTTCAGTAAGACTGACATGTTTACAAAAAAATAACAATTATTTAAATCCATGAACTCTAGCTAATTATTTTCAGCCAATTAAGAGTAATTTACATGGTATTAAGAGGAGAAGTGATTTCACATTGAAATAAGTTACTATATAAGCCAAGAGCAAAAAATGTGACAAATCAAGAGTTTAATTCTGTAGCAACAGAGCATCCTAATACCAAGGCCTGTCATTTACCCTCTGCTTTATACAGCCTCAGAAGATGAGTTAAAAGAAAAATTAAAAAGGACTGACATTCTATGGCTCTCTGTAATAATTTTATTAAAGGCTGACCAAATGGACAAGACTAAGTACGATGCACAACAGATGATGCTTCAGATGGCTAAGACTAATGTCTGTGTCTGTTTTCCCTCAGTTTTAAGAGGGTGGAGGGAAAGCATAATTTAATTCACAATTAGAAAACCATCCTGGTAAATGTTTAGATATCATCTCCCAGAGGCAACACAGCTGCAACTTCAGACAGTTCTGTTTTCCCTCTCCTTTTCATATTTACAGTTTCATATTTACAGTCTCAATACTCCCACAACACCATGTAATTTCCACTAAACATTAACTATCACTGGACATTACTTTTCAAAGAACATGTAGAAAACCCCTAATTACCTGCCAGAATCTAAACTACTCTAC